CGGTCCGATCAACTGCACATCGAGGTCTCCGGTGAGGGCTGTGTGGTTGTCAGGCAGGAGCAGCTGGAGGCTCATCGCTCGCTCCCCTGCAACGCAGACAACGGCAATGAAGAGACGCGGTGCAGCGACGAGTAGCGCATAACCAAATCTGAGGCTACTTCAAGACAATGCAGAGTCTTGGGCGCAGTTCCTCTCTTTCTTTGATTCGAAGAAAACGAAGTTCCTCGCACTCTCGCCCGACTGTCAGTATCTCACGGCAAATGCTTAAGTTTTGAAGGCGCCAACTTGATGAAGAAGTTTCTGATTGCAAAGTTCATCCGCCACAAACTCCAGTTACTTAATGGCTGCTGCAATCGATTCCACTTCCCCCTCCGACCGATCGCTTCCAGATCGACGACAGAATGCATCACATTTCAGTCGCCGCTTGATTCCGTCTCTTAGCTCAGGAATTCCGAATAACGTCGACGTCGACACGTCGAGAAGACAACTTGTGTCCTGTAGAGGGACCCCGAGAAACACCCTGGATGATGTCGGACGTGAGTGGGTTAAGCTTGAGAACAAAGGCGCCGGTTCATACCTTGAGTCAGATGAATCCTGTTCACGCGCTCTAAACCTGTTTAAGTAATATCAATTTTAATATCATCTTCCCCTCTACATCAACTTTCCTGAATGGCATCCTCTTCCCTTCGGTTTCTTCAACTAAAAATTTTTGTACGCGCGCTCCTCCTCCTTGATTTGATGACACTCGGAGGGAATTCGTCCCTCAGCGTGACTGACGCCCGTCAACCTGAACCAAGGGTGACGACAGTTGGTGCAACGCCTTCGTAGTCACGCCTCCGTCCCGGTCGTCTCGAAATTCCTCGGGGCGCAATACAGACCTCACTTGTTAAGCTTCTTGCTCTGTTCAGAGAGCTCCCCCCCCCTCCCTTCTCCGCCCGTTTTTACACGCATTGACCCCTTCTCTTGTTATAACAGTTCTTGTGCAATTCCTTCTTCTTTTGTTTTTAAAAAAAATACGCTTACTATTGTACAGTGCTGCCGCGGCGGAAATAATTGTGGCAAGAAGGAATGAGCGGTCCAAGTCACATGTTCCGAATTCAGAAAAAGTTAGGTTAAATCTGTCTTTATTTTTTATTTTCTTCGTTCCAAGATAGTATACAGCTTATAGATTTACTGAATTCCTCTTGTAACATGTGACTCCATTATTATACCATCTCTGAACAAAGACAATACATGAGATGATAATGTTGCGTCATATTGTGATGAATTATAATTGTTTAATTTTAAACGTCTAATCACAATAAAATATTTTATTAAATATTAAAATATTATTACTACAATTAACATTTAATATTTAAAATAT